GAAATATAAATATAAGGTATGTATCCATATTAGATAGTATCTTTGTGACTCATGTTTATATTTCTTATATTGTTAATTGATATATGTGATTTATTGATCAATGTTATCCAAGTGGGAGAGTGTTATATTTATATAATTATTCTCTATTGTATTATCATTATTATCATCATCATCATCATTATTATTGTTATTATTATTATTATTATTATAAATTAATATTAATTAATAAATTATATTTATATGTTAATATCAATCAGATTGCACATTATTAATTATTATTAATTTATGGATAATGTATATTGGACTTCTGATGAATGGTTTATGATGTGTTGGACTATTTAGTAGCCTATTAAGAGGTCCCTATTCTCTATTGGTAAGGATATACAACTAGTACTATTAGTCATCTCATACATAGAAATTTTTTTTATCTTCCTCCTTTTCACCTACTATCAAGAAGAGTGCAGTCTTCTCTCACGTTGTTCAAGACCGATAGGATAGATCCCTCACTGATTTCCGATACACAATTCTTCTTATACCATATTTGAACATAATATAATATTGTATCTTATATTGTTCATTGTCTAGTAATTACTTTGAATTCTTTTGTTTTTTAACACGATAAGCTTGAAGTGATGCTTTCCCTTTTAAAAATGTGGCTTCCAAATTATTTTCTCTTGTGTTCCACCACAACCAAGAAAAATATTAAAAAAATACCTAATATTCAAACAATTGAACTAAAATTAAAATTATTTTTTGACCAAGTATTTTGTGGTAAAAAAATAATATTTAAAAGCATAATGTAGATTAATAGTTGCCTAAATTGAATAAAATATAAATGTGTATTTGACAATTATCAGTAGTCAACAAACATGAAATAAAAAGCAACTAAGTAAATTTATCATTTTTTTATGTCAGATTTTATTTTACCGGAACATATATATAATTCCAAACTTATAAATTGCATCGCTATATATAATATATGAATTACTTTGATAATTTTTCTTAACTATAAATCAAGCTAAACCTAGTCAATTGATGATTTATACAATGAGATCTTACATATTTGGATTAGATTTAATTTATGTAATGTATACTACTATTATTTATTTGGATTAGATTAGACATATAAGCTAAATTTTAAAATATTTAATCTAAAGAATTTGGTGTTCACTACTAGAATTTCTCTTATTACATGTGATTTTTTCTGCGAATTTTTCATAAAAATTCGCAGGAAAAGTTGTTCCTACAAATTTTTCTGTGAAATTTTATATGCAGGTAATAGTTTCATGGATAATATATTTTTGCGAATTTTAAAATTCGCAAGAAATTTTCCTACAAAAAAAAAATTTCCTGCAAAATTTCTTGCGAAAAAAATTCGCAGGAAAATTTGCAAAAAAGTTTTCTACGAATTTTTTCGCAAGAAATTCTGCCAAAATATTTTTTACGAAAAAAATTAAAGAAAGTACTATAAATTCTATCAATAATTCTTCAACTTTTAAATACTAACAATGAATTCATCCGAAGCATTTGTTTCCATGCCTCCAACATGTGATACTTAATCTTTTAAATTCTAAGATTGTCGATTATAAGTCTAACACTCAACCAAACAAATCAACTTGTAACGTAAGTGTTGCCTCAACTTATATACTCTTTAAATATTTTATTTTCAATCGATATGGGACTTGATTTTTTTAAAATATTAAACTTATAAATTTAAATATTTTTTAATTTTTCCTGCGGATTAAAATTTGCAGGAAAAGTTACCTGCAAAATTTTTCAAACATTTTGTAAACATTACTTGCGAATTTATTTTTGCAAGAAAATTTGCAAGAAACAAAATAAAACTCTTACAATATTTTCTGCAAATTTTTACCATGAAAAAAATTTCTATGATTATTAAAATTGTAGCAAAATTTGTAAAAAATATCTGTAAATTATTTTTCAGAAATAAATTCGCAAAAAATTTCTGCGAACATTTTTTTTAGGAAATTTCACAAAAATTTCTGCGAATATTTTTTTTCAAAAAAATTTGTAAAAAATTTCTGCAAATATTTTTTTGCAGGAAAATTCGTAGAAAAATGATATTTTTCAAGTAGTGGTTCTTTTAAAAAAATTGAAATTAAAAAAATAATATTATTCTTGTCACATAAATAATATTTTATTATTTGAAAATAAGAGTATAATTATACTTTTGATTGCCTATTCAAGCTCCAACAAATTTATTGTCTATTGAAAAATCATAAGGATTGTCTCCAATAAAAAATTTCTCTACTGCTCAAAATCTTTTCAACCTCTTTATGTCTCTTACATGTATTTAAATTTATTTATCTTTTGGAAAATTTTCTGGTAATTTGTGTATACTTTACTCATTTTTTTTTCATTTATTTGTATAATATTGTATTTTTATTTAAATTTTTTCATTTATTTATTTTATTTCTCATGTATTTTTGTGTACCTGTGTGATGATTCTCGTGAGATTACTATTTTAATAATAATTATGTTTGCATATATGAAATTCAGATTTTTTAAAATTGCATATACAATATTAATTAATGTTATTTGTGAAGAATATTTTCATGTATATTATTAAAATTCTTACAAGGTTAAACCATTTTAGTAGAAAAATTAAAGTGGTTGATATGTAAATGATAAGAAATAAATAAAAATACATTAGATGAACTTCTAGAATTCACTATAAAGAGATAATGTTTATATGATAAAAAATTATGAGAAAAAATATTTATTGATTATCTGTTGGACATCATTTTTTATCAAAATTATTAATTTTTTTTTGATTTTGTTAGGCTCACATATTTAGAGATTTATTAAATTTGATTTTCAGCAATTAATCAAAGATAATTAAGACACGTGACTTTAAGCAGTCGTACATTGATAAGTGTGGCATGACCTAAATAAGATATCAGATTAGGAAAATTGCAAAATAATAAACACATGAAACTCCAACATGGTTAGACACGATCAACAATCAACTTGGGAAGACATGTGTATGACTGACTTTCAACCAATCACCACGCACAAAAAATTGACTTAGAAAGACGTTAGTAAAACTAGCTTGCAACTGGCCAGTACACACAAAAAATTGACTTGGAAAGACGTGAAGAGGAATAGCTTGCAATCAACCACCACATACAAAAAAATAGACTTGGAAAGATGTGAGTCGGACCAATTTGCAACTGACCATCACGCACAAAAAATTGGTTTGGAAAGACGTGAGTAGGATCGACTTGCAACCGATTACCACACAAAAAACTGACTCAGAAAGACTTGGGTAGAATCTACTTACAACCTACCACCACGCATAAAATATCAATCGAAAAGACATGAATAAGATCGAGTTGCAATGAAACACCACGCACCAAATATCAACTAAAAAATAAGTCAGTAGGACTTGCTTGCAACCAACCACCATGCACAAAAAATCGAGGATTACGGTTAAGGGTAACTAAACTGTCTCAAGATTATTCTAAGAGACCTTGACTAATTGGCATATAAAAGAAGGGTTACCTGCAACCATTATGCACCTCATGCTTTAGATTGAGGGGTAAGTAATATTTCGAGAGGTCTACACATTATACAATGCCAAAGTTAGTAACCTAAATTTAGGGATTGTTGAATATTTATCGAGTTGAGAGATTTAATACGAAGATCAACATCATTAATGCATGGATTAAATTTTATAACATAACACTATTCATTCCGAGATTTTAGGATGGAAACTAAGAAATTATGAAACTCATAAATGATAACTCTGATATAAATAGAGACCTTTAGTCCTAAAGAAAGATAGATTATACATTCTGAATGTTTTGGACTTGAACCTAAGTTAGGTCTTTTCTAATGCGTTTTCCATATCAAAACAAATGCATTTATGATTTTAGCAAATAAGTGAAATTTATTTAATGTACATCTCTTAAAATACAAATAACCTCCTATTTTTTTATCTTGGAATACAAAAACCTTAGAAACATATATTAAATATCTCATTATTTTATGTAATTTTAAAAAAATAAAATTCAAGACATATTTATTAATTTTAATCATAAAAACTATATTTTCTTAATTGTAATAAATTAGTTATTTACTTCATATAATAATAATTAAGTGATGGAGTAATTGATATAGTCTCACCTATTGAAACCAAATTTTTTTACTTTGTAATTGATATTCAACTTTCATGGCTCTTACTTTTAAGAGTACTAAAATCCAATTGATGAGGAAAATCTCAAGAGGTTCAAGATTTAAAATAAATCGTACCAATAAAATAGTATCAAGATAAATCCAACCAATGATATATTAAAATATTACAATCGTTATATTGTAATAACAATAATAATAATAATAATAATAATAATAATAATAATAATAATAATAATAATAATAATATATTATTAGGCCTTAAAAAATCTTACTTTTAGGATTACTAACGACTCAGCTAATAGGAAAAATTTAAGAGACTCAAGACCTACGAGCACGACAATAAAATATCACAACAACTAATTAGCATGCAAAAATAATTTATCAATATTTAATTTTATTTTTGATAAAGTACAAATATTATTCATAAAAATAATCCTATTCAAGTCGAATAATACTCTACTATAAACTATAGAATTCTATTTTTAACTATTTAACACTTTTTGATCTAATTCACCAAACTTGGATGCACTATGATTATGCAAAAAAAATATCTCGAAAGGGTTGGATATGATCCGTCTGAGGTTAGGTGAAATCAATATATTTATAAGAAACATTTTAAAATTACTGGTTTTATGTCGCTAATGCAATACCAATCATTTCTGCACCTTTGTATTTTGAAAATATTTTATAACGACAAGCGTTAGTTGTTTAGCTTCGCACGCCTTCAAAAATGTGCTTCCTTCAATATGCCACCAGTGCAATGAATTTACGCCCCATTCATTCGACCAAAATAACCATTCTATTCACTTGATAAAGCTAACAACATGCATCAAGAATCACAATTGGCCTCTCAAAATCCAAATATTAGTCTGACATTTAAAAAAATATATCAATACTATCCAATCTTGGTATAAATTAATCTCGATGGCCAATGTAAACAAAAACTCATAGATCTTAATCCTTTGGTTCTAAAATCAATTTGGAAAGTTTGAACCCATAAAAGACAAGGCATATTCAGAACCAGATGAAAAAAAAAGGGAGAAAAGTCTTGAAGGAATCACATCAACAATCACACAAATTAATTTCAACATGAATCTCCACTCCAAAGCAGTGGGAGTATGTTGGAGCCTCCCATCCGATCCAATTCATATATAAGATGTGTATCCCTTGGAAATACTTCAATTTATCGGTAGGAATCTGGGCGCTTTGGCTTGCTTTGAACAACAGCTTCAATCTTCTCCATCACAACAGGAGTCAGTAATGGAATGACATCGATTGCTTTCATGTTCTCTTGAATCTAAGAGAAACAAAACAGGAAAAATAAGATAATATTTTAATGGCAAAGTTCCTTCTTGAAAGCTAGTTATATCTCAAAACATAAAGACATAAATTGCTTTCATTTTCTCCTGTTGAATCAATGCAACAGGAAACAGAAAAAATATGAAAATTTTAATGGCTAAGTACATTCTTGCAGGCAAGTTACAATTGTGCACGTACAGGGATGTATAAGCCATTACTTCATTCACCCAATCATATGTACATAACATTTTCAACCATATGTACGGTATATTATGAAAAAAAAAATGTCAAAAGGTATACATATACAATAAAATATGCATATGATCACGAGGAAAGTTTATTGCATGATTTTTAGTCCCGAGAAATAAAGGAGACCACGAAATACATTAGAAGAAATTGTTAAGAATCAGTCCCATGGTAAATAGTATCTCTAAATAATTGTTTTTTAACTGAGCCAAATAATGTTGTGATCCATGCAACCGACATCACATAGTTGAATAAGGCTTGGGTGGTTGTAAGCTAATACATCATCCCCATAACACTAGTTGTATGCATGATGCATCAACACTTTTGTCCTCTTAAGAAAGGTTTATCATTTTCCCTCTATTCATTTTGTTTACATTTCCTTGTGCTTCCAAATTAAACAAATGGCTCCACACCTTGTTTTCTGAAACAAGAGAAAAGCTTGCTTTTGCTAGACTAGGCATTATGTAAACTACAATCAGGATTTTCCCTTTGTTTTTTTATTTGTGTTTGTTTCCAACTTCTAAAAGGTAAATGATTTTATTTTTACCATAACCCTTCTAGGACCTTCTGTCTGAAAGGTTGAGTGTGACAGTGATATAAGGTCATATGTAAAGTTGAATCTTTTTGAAAACTGTTTTTCTATAACTTGCTCACCAAAATCGCCATTCAATGCAGTACACGACTTCTGAAAGCTAACCTCAATATCCCAACAGATTATTTTAGCTTAAAATGTGGAGGAATTTAAAAAGTGTGAATTGTGCAATGCATTGCATTAGAGAGTACAGGAAGACATATACAATCATAAGCAATGAAAGGTTCAAGGAACAAACAACAAAAGTTGTCACTGCTGTTCACATGTCACTCATCAGTCATCATTAGTAAGACATGAACAAGCAATCAAAAGGGCAGCAATTAACAGAAATCTTTAACAAAATAGTAATACTACCAGATCAGTAATACTACCAATATAAGCACAGTGGAACAAATTGACCTATACAAAGCAAGAAAGACAGGGCAACACATATGCAAGTCTACTGATATGCAATAAAAATAAGGAGTAGCAAAACCATGAGACTTTAGAAGTAAGAATGTCTAATTAAAGAGAAACAAACTCTGTCAGCTATTCTCTCTTTCCTGAACTTACAAAGAGAAGAAAATTCAAAGCCAGATACTAATTACTACAATAGTTTGCAAAACAGCCACACAATTCAACTATTGAATCAGCCTTAAACAATTCAAACGGAAAACATAACATTTGTTTAACCAGCGGTAATTCTTAAAATTAGGTTCCCTAAATGATAAAAAGAGTTACTGAACTTGTTTCCAATGAAGCAAAATGATCAGCTTTACATGTACAGTTGCATTGAATTTCATTTAAATGATGCAACAGTTTGTAGTGAATGCAGAGTGTAATGCAATTTAAACATTAGCAGCAAAATAAAACCAGGAGCAGTACATTAGAGTACAACCTAACATCAAAAGTTGCTAGTATAAATGATTTGACATTTGTGTTCCTTAACCAAAAGTTGGAATTCAATCCCCACCTTGGATATGGAGTTGTAACTAGAGGTACCACTATACCCCTAATATGAGCCAGCATGGTGGGATGTACCTCCTAATTATACCAAAAATTTATTCTTTAAGACCAAGTGTTAAAAACCATAGCCTCTCAATTTGAATCTAGCTTCCTTCACTTCATACCACTAGAAAAAAAGAACAGTGAAAACCTCCAGACTATGCACTTATATAGTAATATTAACAAATTGAAGAAAACTGAAGTGGACCACTAATTAGGATTGCCATAAATCTTGAGTTATTTCATATATTCTGTTTCTTTATATGTCATTATCTTGAAAAGGTTCAGATCCTTAGTATTATTATTTTTCATTAGAATAATTGTTATTTTTAATGATATTAATTAGGAATCTCTTCATTTTTATTTTATGAATTAGGATAATCATTAATTATGATCCTATTAATTAGGAATATCTTTGTAAGCCTTCTTGTAAAAGGTACAAAAATTAGAATATCATCAACGAGATATTATTTTTAAAAAAACTTGCGTTTTAGGAGGGGATTATGTCAAATAATTTTAATTGCGTTATTTTTAATGATATTAATTATGATTTCAGAATTGCCCGTTCCAGTTTTAATAATTTTGTATTAATTGTTTATCTGGAACGACCCGTTCTAATTTCGGAACGGCCCGTTCCAGATTGGCCCCACAGTAGGCGCTAAATGTTCTTACCGGAATTTGGTCGTAGAGGTGACTCGTCCAGTAAGATCGGTGAGCCTTCTTTGCCTGATGTATTGGTGCTCCAAGATGGGGGAGGTACCTGCAAAAGAGACTCCGATGCCAAAGTTAGTGTTTGTATGAATAATAGTCTCGTATATATAATGCACGTACCTTGAAGTGATTTAGGTTTGTCTTGGACCTTGGGCCTGAGATAGGATATGTTGCGATGTAATTAGATGAGGGAGCCCGTCTGGGGCGGGATCCCGGGTTTCAGTTGTGATTTGCTCAAATACCGGGCTGACACCAGACAACTAGTTGTCCGGGGTCGCCCCGCGTTGATAACCCGAGCTCGGAGCCCGATTGCGAAGTACGGATAGTACACTAAGCAAGCATACACAAATTTCTACACTTCCTTCTTCGTCTTTGACCACCAAAACACCTTTTTAAGGCCTTGGTATATCTTAATGGCTCCTGGATGGATGCTAAGGCTACTCCTATGACCTTCTTCTAGGATTGCTCCTTTAAGCTCTGACACACTAGGAATGCACAACCTATCCTTAAATCTCATCACTCTATCCATTTCAAATCTAAACTCACTCTCTACACCTTGATTCAACTTCTCTACTTGACTTAATAAGAAAGGATCTACCTTCTAACCTTCTTTAATCGCATCTATCAAGCTATTAATCACTCTCAAAACTCCTAACTTAATACTCTTAGAGGTCAACTTACACCCTAAACTCATATCCTTAAACTCCTCAATCATATGCAATTCCCTAATCATCAAAGAAAGCACTCTCAAAGATTTTCTACTTAAAGTGTCAGCTACAACATACGCCTTACAAGGGTGATAATTCAATTAAAATTCATAATTCTTAAAGAACTCTAACCATCTCCTCTACTTCTCTTTTCATCTTAAACCATCACGCTTCCGCTGCGCTACTCTGATACATTTTAGTAACTCCTAAATGAATGCTAAGAGTATTCTTATATTCTTTCTCTAATATCATCTTCCTTAATTTGGGTTTACTAGGCACATAGATTCTATCCATGAACCCCAAAACACCATAACTTCCACTCGTAAAAGGGCCATTTATATCCCTACCAATCTTTTCCACTTGGCTCACTAAGAAAGGATTTAACTCCTGGGTCCTCTAATCACATCTATTAATCTATTAGTCCATTTCAACATACTCAATTCAATGCTCCTAAGGATGAGCTCACACATCACGCTTAAGTTTCTAATATCCTCAATCAAATTCAACCCTTACATCATCAAAATGATAGATAAATGCTCATCCTACTCAGGACATTTGTCACTATATTAATTTTACTTTTATAACCCTCTCCAAGGATTAGACGCCTAAGTGTAAGTTCACTATGTACTCATACTCGATCTTCAAGTCTTACCACTTCATTTATACCCCAGGCAAATTCTTATTTACTATCTTGTCCTATAGACTCATACCTTGCCACCAAAATGAATCGACTAATTATGCTTATCCAACACCCTTCAACAATCTACTCGTTACTCGAGTCATACCTAGTTTCCTACTATTAGGAGTAATTTTACAAGTCAAACTTAAATTCCTAATTTGAGCCAAAAGGTACATCTCTTTAACCATAAAGAAAGATGAATATAGATGTTTCCTTCTCAAAGCATCAACCACTACTTTAGATTTACCCAGATAACAACTAAGATTAAAATCTTAGATTCTTAAAAATAGACGGGAGATTTATATTTTTTTACGTACCAAGCTCAATAGTGTTGAACGTTATGGGATATATTAAAAAAAATCCTAGTGCCACATCGATCTTCATAAGCACCCCTTGGGCGCAGGATATGAGGGATATAACGGAGGTTGAGAAGCATATAACAGAACAGTGTTGCAACTATAGCTATCATTAACCTCACCTTCATGGCCCTCACCAAGAACCACCCAATCATGAAATTAGAGACGCCAACTTCGAATCCAAGTTCCAGTTCCATGGAGAAGCTCATGGCCATGGAGGCAAATGCCGCACCAGAAATCACGTTCATCGTTTTGCCATACCCACTTTCCTTCTTCCCTTCTTCTGCGATCTTCCAAAAAGGAAAAGACTGAGGTAATCACCAAGGCTGCAAAACCTACCAGTGTTTTGAAAAACGGACCCCTCCGACGTGCCCACGCGCAGCTGTCCCTGTGAACGAGAAGCGTGGAGGTACACACAAGTGCGCTTACCAAGCTGTACACCACTTTCTTCACCAGGCTCCATGCTCCCATCAAGTATTGGGCCGAAGGACTCAGGGCGTAGCAGTAGAACCCCACAATGCTCGACACACCCCGTCACTCTCCATGTCCAACGGTGCCTCAAGAGTTCTGATATTGCATTTAACATTCTTGTGGAGGCTTAAGAATATATATTCAGATATACTTCACTTACCTCTTAAGGTTACAAGTGAGAAATGAGGTTTTGGTTACTGATCATGATGCATGCTCTTAATTTTAATATATAAGAAAATACCATGGCCTCTATCTTCCACCATGTGGGACCGGATTAACGGTGTGAACATGGAAAATGGCTCAAAGGAATGTCTTTTTGACCAAAATGTCGGTATGCTGCGAATGACTATCCCAACTACAGGTCTTGTTAAGCTTTACCGTAGTTACCGGAAACTTGTCATTCTTTTTTTTCTTTTTTGTTTAATTTATGGATACTACTAGTGTAAATGCCACTTTGTTTTATTTATTTATTACATGTTTCTGTGCAAATTTTCAAAGACACGATGGAGGCTGGTTAGTGGCATTTATTTTGGAACTAAGATGATTTTTGACTAATGAGAATCAAATTGTGGGTCATTATTGCGATTGCCTTTACTTGTCGAATGCCCACCGCCAAATTGAAATCCCCGTGCATTAATAAACTGGAAGGTTGAAACCTTTAAATTGTATGTCACTTTTGTTAATAAAAGCTATTGGGAAAGTAGGAAATTTATATCGTGATTGTACGAGTATATCTGTAACATCGTATTAGGCAGAACTTTAGGAATATATATAACTATGAAAAGTTAATTATAAACTAAATATATGCTGCACCATTACCTTATTTTTCTCTTACAGCAATCATGAATAGATAGCCAGAGAAATGGAGCACCGGTTCCATGAGATTTGTTTGTGGAATCCAGAGCAGGTTAGCTCATCCAACACGAGAAAGTCTAGAACTCAAATTTTGAGCCTCTTTAAAGCCCAGAACCACCATGAGATGTGGAAAAGAAACAATTGTCTTCCCTTATTGTCTGTACATTTCAACAAGATTTTTTTTAGTTGTTAATATATTTTTATGATATTTTATAAAATTTATATTACTAAAACTTTTAGCAACATTTTTATATATTAATGACAGTATTTTAAAAATATTATCAAAGTAATATTTTGTAACATTTATACTATTAATAAATGGGATATTCTTTTTTGTTATATATGATTTTTAAACTAATTTATCTTTATAAGAATTTTTAAATTACTTTCTCTTTTATTATTTTTTATTTACCTTTTGATTTATTCTCTCTCTTCTTTTCTACTTCAATGCCACTTTCATTTTTCAAACTTCTCATCCTTTGATTAACCACTAGTTATCCTTTTAATTAGAGAGGCACAAAATGTCTATTTTTCTTTTAATTTTAATAATGTTAAATATTTTAAAATTTTATAAAGTGATAATTAATTTTAATATAGATGGTTCCGTCCCTTATATTTTATAAGTTTTGTCTATGCAGCCCTTTAAGATTGATGAACCCAAAATGATAAAGATAGAGTTAAAATGGAAAAGGTCTCATGCTTCCGTTGTTGGTAGTTTGATGTATGCTCAAGTTTGTATTCGTTCTGATATTGCTTTTGTTATTAATGCTTTAGGGAGATACTTAAGTGACCCAGGTATGGGTCAATGGAAAGCTGTTAAAAAGGTCTTTAGATATTTGCAGGGAACCAAGGATCATATATTGACCTATAATAAGTCCACTAGTACAAAAATAGGATTTTATGTCACCTCATTTACGTCAGAAAACCCAAAACGCGACGTTAAAAATACGTGGTGGCACTGTCGTAAATAAAAGCTAACTAATTTACGTCAAACAGTAGGGGATCCGACGTAAATTAGTGCTTATATTCAGTATCTTCCCCTGCGCGCCATTGTTTTCAAAATGTTCTTCTCTTATTCTCTCTTATTCTCTCTTATTCTCTACGCCTTTGTTTGCACATTGCACATTTTTAAGTCTCTAGGAGTCTTCACATTGCACATTTGAGGTTAGTTCTTCTGTTATTCTCTACGCAATTTTTTTTCTTCATTTTCAGTTGAATGTTCATCTGGAACAGCCCGTTCTCCAACCAGAACGTGCCATTCTGCTTGATTTTTTTGTTTGTTAATTGTTGATCTGGAACGGGCTGTTCTACGGGCCGTTCCAAATAAACAATTAATTAACATAGAAGTATTGCATCTGGAACGGGTCATTCTGATTTTAGAATGGACCGTTCCAGAGATGCATAAATCTGTGTTAATTGTGTATTTGCACTTCATATACCCTAAGGTTAGAAAATTAATTAATACATTCAATAATATTTAAATTTATTGACTTTGGAAATAATAGTTATTTGTTTCTCATTTTAGTGTAATAAGCAACAAGACTCGTTTGAATGTGGCTATTACATCATGTATTGGATGAGAGTCATAGTTTCTGCGGGTATTACTGATTCTTGGGTGCAGGTAATTCATATCCAAATTTATTTAAGTAATTTACCTTTACGATAATTAACATTGCATATTAATGACACTTAAATTAATGTTTCAGGTCTTTCAAGATCCATCTCCGTTGCCCGAAGATGAGATCATCAAGATAAGAGAACAATGGGCAACTTTTTTTCTTCAAAGTATACAATAGTTAGATTTTTAAGTTTAGTTAGTTAGATATTATGTTTCAGTTTGATAGGATTGACAAACATATTTTTTATAACTTTTTTAGGATAATAGGATTTACATTGTCATAATTTATGTTTTTTAAGATTTATATATTATTTTCTTTTTGTCATTCAATTTTGAAATATTTTGAAATATAATTTGAATTTGTATTCTAGACTGCCTGATTTATATATGCAGGTTTTATATTGGGTATATAAAAAATAAAAATAAAAAATTTAAAAATGCCAGATTTTACGTCGGACATGGTGTGGTCCGACGTAAAATCTCAGGCCTTTTTTACGTCGGGCATAGGCATATCCGACGTAAATTTACGTCATCTCTCAGAGGCGACGTAAATTTACGTTTCCCGTATTAATGTCGGAGCCTTTTCCAACGTAAAAGCCTAAAAATACCTAACGTAAAAGACCTTTTTTGTACTAGTGGTCTGATCAACTATTAAGGTCATTGGTTAGTTTGATTATGATTTTGTTAGTTGTCTTGACGATTGAAAAATCTACTTTCGGCTTTATTTTTATGATGGCAAAAAGAGCTATTTCTTCGAAGAGTGTTAAACAAACTCTTACAACTACTTCTACCATAGAGGCAGAGTATCTCGCTTGTTATAAGACTACTTGTCAAGTTGTGTGGCTTAAAAATTTGATTTCTAGCTTTCATATTCTTGAAAGTATTTATAGGCCACTTATGATATATTGTGACAATACTGTTGTTGTGCATTTCTCTCAAAACAAAATAAGTTCTACTCACTCAAAGCATTTTGATATAAATTTCAGTTTGTTAGAGAGAAAGTTTTGGACTTTCAGACTCGGATTGAGCATATCCATTGACTAAAGGTTTAGCTATTGAAAATTTTCAAAATCATGTTACTCATATGGGTGTGGTTAAGTTTTTTGATTTATTGGGTTAGTGGGAGTCTGAAGTTTACATTTTTTATTATTATAATTTTCATGGGATATAAATTTATCAATGATGTCATTTTTATTACATCTCTTCTAGCATATAAAAATGCTTGGACCATTTTTTGGGATCACATATTTATTATTTTTCGTTGTCATTATTTATGAAATATAAACATAAGCTATGTATCCCTATTAGATAGTATCTTTGTGGCTCATGTTTATATTTCTTATATTGTTAATTAATATATGTGATTTATTGATTAATGTTATCCAAGTGGGAGAATGTTATATTTATATAATTATTCTCTTTTTTATTATCATTATCATCATCATCATCATCATCATCATCATCATCATTATCATCATCATCATTATCATCATCATCATTATCATCATCATCATTATCATCATCATCATTATCATCATCATCATTATCATCATCATCATTATCATCATCATCATTATCATCATCATCATTATTATTATTATTATGGATTAACATTAATTAATAAATTATATTTATATGTTAATATCAATTATATTGCACATCATTATTATTAATTTATGGATAATGTATATTGGACTTCTGATGAATGATTTATGATGGATTGGACTATTCAGTAGCCTATTAAGAGGTCCCTAGTCTCTATTGGTAAGTGTAGACACCCAATTTCGTCTGGGGGGCATACAAACAAGGAAATGGACCTCTGTTATGAAGGGAAGGAGTTCCTGAAGCATGCAAACAACAGGACAGGATATTAGAAGGCTTAAAGCCCAAATACATTGGTTTTAGTGGCCTAGAACGGACTGTTCAAAAATTAGAATGGGTCGTTCCAAGCCATAAAAAAAGCCTAAAAACCTAGTCTGGAATGGGCCGTTCCAAAACCAGAACGGGCCGTTCCAAACCAGGCAAAAGGCCTAAAAATCTTAGGCTAGAACAGGTCGTTCCAAAACTAGAATGGCTGTTCCAAACTGCTAAAAAAGTCTAAAAACTTAGTTTGGAACGGGCAGTTCTAGCAAGGCATTTTTGTGTTAACCTCAACTCCAAAACGGGCCGTTCCAGGGTAAGAATTTAACACATAAAGTTTGGATCTAGAATGGGCCGTTCCGGATTTGGAACGGGCCGTTCTGGCACCCTTTTGATGTCTATAAATAGACAGCTCGGGCACAGTTCTCAGGGCCACAAAATTTCATCCAGAACTCCTTAGAGCTCGAAATTTCTCTCTCTCTCTCTATCCCTCCTATTGTATTTCTTGAGATTTGTGAGACATTTTTGTAGTGTGAAAGGTTGCCACAAAACACCTAGAATTTCCATATCGGAAGATTTAACAAAGCTTGCTACGAGGTATTTCAATTAATCTTCTTCTCTCTCTTTTATTTCTTATTTTTGATAAGTATTGTTATAATAAAAACAATCATGTAGATATTTTAGAGTCAATTGTTTAATTTAAATTTCAAGCATGTAAATAGTCATCAATAAAAGGGGATTTAATATTTATATTATTATTGTTTATAATGTTAACTTTGTCATATATAGGGTACCGATTAAGGGCGTTGTAGGGGTGCTTAATACCTTCCTTACACGTTACCGACCCTGAACCCAATTCTGGTTATTAAGGTCATTATTAGATTTTTTAAAAACCCTTTCTTTTTCCAATATTTTGAGTAAAATATTGGTGGCGACTCCATGAACTCACTTTTCAAAACCATTAATTAAGGATTAGCTTAGTGTTCGGACATTTCTTAATTGATGAGATTTTCAAAAGGATGTCTAAACCATAGGTCGCGAGATTGGAAATTTTCGGGTTGCAACAGATGGCAACTCCACTGGGAAAGTTTAAAGAGGGTTAGGCCCATTTAATTGATGAAGTTAATAAAATAAAAATAATAATTTAAATATTTTTTCCCTTTAGTTTGTTTGCTTTATTTGTTTGGCTTTAATATCTATTTGCCTATTGTAATTCTACATCTGTTTAAATAAAAATTGTACACAAATCTTTGTACACAACAGTTCCCCTACACCCGGGGCCATGAGGGTATTAAATATAGGGAGTAGTTGACGTACGACCAGCCCAAGTTTGGCCTTGGAGCCTATGAGCCTTGTCGAAAATCACACTCAAGGTGATAACCGGTTACTCTAGCCCGAAATACTACGACAGACCTTAAAGTTTGCTAGGTGACGACGATAGAGATACTGGGTCCCTATAATGGGGGCACCTTGGGGGCCTTAAGACCAGTGAGATTAGAACTGTCCTATACAATACACTTTTCTTGCAGGGACCACAGACCAAGGATTTAAACATGACTATTTGTGGGTGTACATTTGTTTGAGCATATGTGTGTTGCATTTGTTTGTGTTTATTTATTTCAAATGGATAAGAATTACAAAAAAATAGATATTAATAAAAAAAATATGATAAAAAAATTTAACTCCCTTCTATATACCCAAACCTCAAAGCATCATATAGGATAGTTTATTTCAAAAAAAAACAAAAAAAAAAACAAATAAATATATAGCAAAAATCATGCATCATAACCTTAGTAAAAAAATAATGATAAAATTTAGGCAGAAAACAAATATCATACATTTTTAGTTTAGCATATACATTCATTAGAAAATGGAAGACACATAGTATGCAAAAAATTTTGAGAAAGGAGAACATTCTAAAATACAAGAATCGAGTGCCCTTATACTAAGGAGGCCTACTAGACTTTGGACTCTCGTCATCCTTTCAACCGAAGGAAAAGTCTACATCTTCTCAAACTTCTTCTAATCTAGAAAGATGTCATTCCTTACTCAAATAGGAGATTATTTGAAATTTCGAAAAGGAGGCACGTAAAAAAGGAAATTGAAGCAAAAATAAAAATATAAAATAAAAAGAGAAAAAGAATTTGCTTCAAGAACATAGTTTGGGAAGTTAAAGAAAACTCTGCTGATGAACATAGTTCCGGGTACACCAGGATGCCTATAAATAGGAGGCATGGGGTGAAAAATTATAACTGAGTGAGAAGTGAAAATCTTAGAGAGAGAAAGAAAGAGAGAGAGAGAGAGAGAGATAGAAAGAGAAAGAGAAAGAGAAAGAAACAGAGAGAAAGGAAGAGGGAATTCAGAGGAGGAGGTTCTGCTCTAGTTTCAACTCCGCTTATCCAGGTAAGGGGGGAGTGAGAAACCTTGCTCGGGGGTGTGGGGATAATTGTTGGATAGTTTGATTGTCGAATTGGCCCCCAATCCCTTGCCTGTTGTTCTATTTTATTTTCTGTTTGCTCTACTTTGTTTCTTGTTACTTTATTCCTTGTTAGAAGTAATAAATGATTATGTAATTAATGTTAAAAATAAATAAGTTTTAATATGAATAAGAATGCTCTCTGTGGATCTCTGTGAATTCTTGTGCGGACCTTATGAGGAGTATTTATGACATGACTATGTGAAATATGTCCAAATGACATGAGACATAAGAATGAACTATTGAGACAACTTATGATGGTGAGAATATGAAAAATGGACATGATGTACTAAATGAAATTCTGTAATAAGTTAAATGTTTAGTCAATGAAATTATGAATGTGTGACATGCATCATATGTATATATGACTTCAGGTGTGCCACTGAGGCCACATACCAGTAATGCTAACAATTAAGGTGTACCTTAGGTCACCCACGGCTAACAAGGTGTACCTTAGGGTCACCCACGACGTAACAAGCTAACAAGGTGTACCTTAGGGTCACCAGTAATGTAACCAAGTGTACCTTAGGGTCACCAGTGATGATATGTGAAACTTCCGTATGGTGCCACAGTCATGCATTTATGAGTTAAGTCCATGACATTATAGCATGATAAATGAGTGTATATTTGATATTTGATTATGTATGTGTATTGTTTACATGTGACTTATATTTGTTGTATGTGTGTGCTATCTAACCTTTATTTCTTCACCTGAAACTGAGTGAGATGTTTCTCAGTCCCTTGTTACTTTGTATGTGTTTAAATTATGTTGTAGGCGATCATCATCATGAGGATATTGGTGATGAGGCTTAAGGTTTCAGTTGGGCGTGCTCTGATAGAATGTGACATCGGGGCATAGCTAGCTTATTCTAATATGTTATTGTTTTAATAACTTTTTTTTTCTTTTGTAATTTCCAGCGAAGAAATAACGTAAATAAAGTTTATAATCTTTCTTTTGTAATTTTGAACATCCTTGATAAAAGACAAAAATATGCATCTTTGTCATATTATTTTTATTACATGATTTAGAAGTTATAATTTAATTCCTAACTAGGAGGCACTGCCACCTTTGCTGGAATTAATCTATATTTTTCTTTATATGATTTCTTGAGTTTTGATACTTACATGATTTATGAGTTACGAATGTGAATTTCTACCTTATAATATTTGAGATAATTATTTTATCTATGAAAGAGGTTGTCAACTATGAAAGATTTTATTTACTCAAAAAGAAAAAAAAAATATTTACATTTATTGTATATTAATGTTGGGGTAGAGGGTGTCACATTTAGTGGTATCAGAGCTTGGTTGATCCAATCGACCATGAGTTATGAGTTTATTATGCTTATTTAGTAGTTGAATGATGGACTGAATTGATTGTGGAACTTGTTGGTATGCTAGTATGATGATTGATTATGTTTATTATTAATTGTATTATTTTCTTAGATTATGGCTGATAGAAATGATCGTGTGATTGCTGATGCTTTTCAAGCATTAGCACAAGCTATGAATAATAACAATAGGACTGAAGTCGCTCCTAACTGGTTGGAGCAATTTCAGCGAAATCACCCACCTACATTTAAAGGAGGAAATGACCTAGATGCTGCTATGAATTGGTTAACGGAGATTGAGAAAATCTTCAACGTTATGGATTGTCCCCTCACTCAGAAGGTGAAGTTGGCCACCTTCATGTTGACTGCTGATGCTCACTTTTGGTGGGAAGGAGCTCTTCGAAGGATGATTGATGGAGGGGTGCACTTGAATTGGGGCAACTTCAAGAAGGTTTTTCTTGAGAAATATTTCCCAGATGATGTGAAGAGTTAGAAAGAAATGGAATTCCTTGAACTGAATCAAGGGAACGACACAGTGGCAGTGTATGCTGCCAAATTTGATGCTTTGGTTCGTTATTGTACACATTACCATGGTGAGGGTGGTGAAAGGGCTAAATGTATAAAATTTGTAAATGGTCTGCGTCCTGAAGTGAAAACTGCAATTAATTATCAAGAGACATATCAATTTCCTACTCTAGTCAATAAGTACAGCATTTATGATTGTGACAACCGTGCTCGTGCTGCTTTTTATAAAGGAGTTGGAGGTCCTATACGTGCTATGAGTTCTAGTACTACGAGTAGGAGTAAGCCTTACTCCGCTCTTACTAGATTTCAAGGGAGTAAAGCTGCTGCTAATAAAAGCAAGTCATTTACTAGAGGATCCACTATTAGTGCTACTGGAAGTTTTGAAGGGTCTATGTTCACTCCTTCAGGAAGATGCGGGAAGTGTGGACGTGTTGGTCATAATCAGTCTGAGTGTTGTGACAAGGAGATTACCTGCTTCAATTGCAGTGGTAAGGGTCACATCAGTACCCAATGTCCTGAACCATGAAGAACACATGTTATTGCATCGGGTTCGCAGATTGAGCGTCCAAAGACTGTAGGGAGAGTATTTGCTCTTAGTGGTGCTGATGCTGCTCGGTCAGAAAATTTGATACAAGGTACTTGTTTCGTAGCTGAGACGCCTTTTGTTGTACTATTTGATTCTAGTGCAACTCATTCCTTTATTTCTGTCTCTTGTTTCCAAAAATTGAATTTTTCTGTGTCTTTGTTAGATTTTGATTTAATTATTGAAACCCCTACTAATGGTCTAGTGACTACATCCCTAGTGTGTTTGAAATGTCCTTTGACAGTTTCTGATAAGAAGTTTCTAGTTGACTTAATTTGTTTACCTCTTAGTCAATTAGATGTAATTCTTGGTATGGATTGGTTATCTTCTCACCATGTCCTTTTAAACTGCTTTGAGAAATCTATTTCCTTTGGTGAATGTAAGAGTACAGAATTTCTTAGTGCTGCCAACATTAAAACTTGTTTAAAAGAAAATGAAAGAGTGTACATGATCTTCGCTTCCTTAACACTTGAGACTGATAGTAAGCTGGATGAGATTCCCTTAGTGAGAGAATTTCCAGAAGTATTCCCCAAGGATGTGTCTAGTTTACCACCTGAGAGAGAGATTGAGTTTAGCATAGGCTTAGTACCAAGTACCTCACCTATATCTATAGCACCTTATAGGATGTCCCCTAAAGAGTTAGTTGAGCTTAAGAAACAAATAGAGGAACTGCAAGAGAAATAATTCATTAGGCCTACTGTTTTGCCTAGGGGAGTGCCTGTTTTATTGGTTAAAAAGAAAGATGGGAGCATGAGGTTGTGCGTAGACTATAGGCAACTGAATAAAGTGACCATTAAGAATAAGTATCCGTTGCCTAGGATTGATGACCTTATGGATCAACTAGTTGGGGCTTGTGTGTTCAGTAAGATAGATATAGGGTCAGGATACCATCAGATAAAGTGAAAGCTGAGGATGTTCCTAAGACTGCCTTTAGGACCCGCTATGGGCACTATGAGTATTTAGTTATGCCTTTTTGTGTGACTAATGCACCTGGTGTTTTTATGGACTACATGAATAGGATCTTTCACCCTTACTTGGATAGATTTGTAGTGGTTTTCATAGATGATACCCTAGTGTATTCCAGGACTAGGGAGGAGCATGTTGAACACCTTAGGATCGTTCTTCAAACCCTTAAGGAGAAGCAGTTGTATGCGAAATTGTCAAAATGTGTATTTTGGTTGGATAGTGTGAACTTTTTAAGACATGTGATATCCAAGAGTGGAATAGCTGTAGATCCTGCTAAGATAGAAGCTGTGTTAGAGTGGAGTACACCTAAATCAGTATTTGAGATTAGGAGTTTCTTAGGACTAGCCAGTTATTACAGAAGGTTCATAGAGAATTTCTCTAGGCTAGCTCTTCCTTTGACTAAGCTGACGAAGAAGGACCAACCTTTTGTGTGGGATTCTGGGTGTGAGGAAAGTTTTCAAGAGCTTAAGAGAAGATTAACTAGTGTCCTGTGTTAGTGTTACCTGACCCTAGCAAGACTTTTGAGGTATTTTGTGATGCTTCTAAATTGGGTTTAAAAGGAGTGCTTATGCTAACAAGGTGTACCTTTGGGTCACCCACGACTAACAAGGTGTACCTTAGGGTCACCCATGACGTAACATGCTAACAAGGTGTACCTTAGGGTCACCAGTGATGCTATGTGAAACTTCCGTATGGTGCCACATGCATGCATTTATGAGTTGAGTTCATGACATCATAGCATGATAAATGAGTGTATATTTGATATTGATTATGTATGTGTATTTTTTACATGTGACTTATATTTGTTGTGTGTGTACTATCTAACCTTTATTTCTTCACCTGAAACTGAGTGAGATGTTTCTCACTCCCTTGTTGTTTTTGTATATGTTTAAAATTATGTTGTAGATGATCAGCATCATGAGGATATGAGGATATTGGTGATGAGGCTTAAGGCTTCAGTTGGGCGTGCTCTGATAGGATGTGACATTGGGGCATAGCTAGCATAGTCTAATATGTTATTGTTTTAATAACTTTAGTTTCTTTTCTTTTGTAATTTCTAGCGAAGAAATAACGTAAATAAAGTTTATAATCTTTCTTTTGTAATTTTGAACGTCCTTGATGAAAGATAAAAATATGCATCTTTGTCATATTATTTTTATTACATGATTTAGAAGTTATAATTTAATTCCTAACTAGGAGGCACTGCCACTTTTGCTGGAATTAATCTATATTTTTCTTTATATGATTTCTTGAGTTTTGATTCTTACATGATTTATGAGTTACGAATGTGAATCTTCTACTTTATAATATTTGAGACAATTATTTTATCCATGAAAGAGGTTGTCAACTATAAAAGATTTTATTTACTCAAAAAGAAAAAAAAAATTGTTTACATTTATTGTGTATTAATGTTGGGGTAGAGGGTGTCACACAAAATGTTATATTAATCGAATATGATTTCTTATAAAACAAAATTAAATCTATTGGAAATTCTATATTTTCGATGAAATTTTTTTATGTAGGAAACGCTATATTATTGATAGAATATTTTTGACAAATTTTTATTTGTCGAAAATGTAAGAACTGGTTTTAAATTTGATACGAAAATATTATGATATAATTAGATAAGATTTTAAGTTAGTATTTTATTAATGGTTGATAATTAGAAAATAAAACAAGGATAAATACATTTTTTGTATTTTATATGTTTGATTTAAGATAACTTACAAAATAACTCTTGGTAAAGTTATTCCGCTCAATAACTCATGGTGTGTGTTGAATTTTATCGATCCAATTAATTGTTAAATTAAAATTTATTAAATTTTACTAATAATTAATATATAAAAAATTAATTAGCTTTGGAATAAATTATTTACTAATTAACAATATAATTGAAACATTAATTATTTAAATTATTTAACTAAAATCTTATTGACAATTTACTATATGATCTTAATATTTTTGTATAACTAATATCTGGTTTTAAATTTGATATGAGAATATTATAATTAATTAGATAAGATTTTAAGTTAGTATTTTATTAATAGTTGATAATTAGAAAATAAAACAAGGATAAATACATTTTTTTTAATTTTATATGTTTGATTTAAGGTAAATAAATATATTAAATTAATTAATAATTTATTTAAAATATTAAAATTTAATTTATAAGTATGTAATAAATAAATATTTATAATTTTATAAATTATATTATCATTATAAATTTTAAAATTAAATAATTTAAATTATAATTTTAAATAGAAATAAGTAGATGTTAATTATAAAAGCAAGTACATATAAATAAAGAATAATTAAATATATTATTGTTATTATTATTATTATTATTATTTGTAATATAAAATTAATATATATTATTATTATAGTACAAGTATGAGATTGTATATTTGAGGATGATTTAAATGAATTAATTTATAAAAGTTATACTCACAACATACATATACATTTCGGTAGCTTACTCATCAGAATTTCATAGTTAAACGTGCTTGACCTAAAGTAGTATAGGGATGGGTGACCTCCTAGGAAGTTTCCAAGAAATTGCGTAAGTAAAGATATGCTAAAAAGTAAAATGTCGTAAAATAGAACCTTGAGAGGTCAAATATGAAGACTATTACATTAATAAATTTATTAAAATTTTTAAAAAAATTATAATTTTCATCGGAATATTTCGACAGATTTTTTTTTACGTCACTTTTTTCAATGAATTTAAATCCATAAAAACAAAATTCGTTGAAAATTTACTTGTTTTTATTAGAAATTAGTATTTTTCTTGCGGTGTAAATACGAATTAATTAAATAATAATAATAATATATCATTAGGTTTTAAAGATCTTACTTTTGGGTTACTAGCAACTCAATTAATATGGGGGAATTCAAGACCTACAATCATGACAATAAAATATCACAATAACTAATTAACTTGCAAAAATTATTTATTAATACTTAATTTTTGGATAACCAAATGGCCAATGTGTACTAAAACGAATTGGAGCATGCCTTCGACGAAGCAGGGATTCGGGATTTGCTTCTGAATCTGTATTCATGCCGAGTCTTCGAAATAAGCTTCATAACCAGGTACATAACGAGGCCCTGGGCGCAGGATACGAGGGATATAACGGAGGTTGAGAAGCATATAACAGAACAGTGTTGCAACTATAGCTATCATTAACCTCACCTTCATGGCCCTCACCAAGAACCACCCAATCATGAAATTAGAGACGCCAACTTCGAATCCAAGTTCCAGTTCCATGGAGAAGCTCATGGCCATGGAGGCAAATGCCGCACCAGAAATCACGTTCATCGTTTTGCCATACCCACTTTCCTTCTTCCCTTCTTCACTGCGATCTTCCAAAAAGGAAAAGACGGAGGTAATCACCAAGGCTGCAAAACCTACCAGTGTTTTGAAAAACGGACCCCTCCCACGTGCCCACGCGCAGCTGTCCCTGTGAACGAGAAGCGTGGAGGTACACACAAGTGCGCTTACCAAGCTGTACACCACTTTCTTCACCAGGCTCCATTCTCCCATCAAGTATCGTAACGAGGGGCTCAGGGCGTAGCAGTAGAACCCCACAATGCTTGACACAAACCCCGTCACTCTCCATGTCCAACGGTGCCTCAAGAGTTTTGATATTGCATTTAATAACATTCTTGTGGAGGCTTAAGAATATATATTCAGATATACTTCACTTACCTCTCAAGGTTACAAGTGAGTGATGAGGTTTTGGTTACTGATCATGATGCATGCTCTTAATCTGAATGAATATATAGGAAAATACCATGGCCTCTATCTTCCTCCATGTGGGACCCGATTGACCGTGTGAACATGGAAAATGTCTCAAAGGAATGTCTTTTTCACCAAAATGAGGGTTTGCAAATGGGATAATAAATAATAGCTCAGACTAGACTTATATATAGAATACCTCGTTTTATATATTCAAAGTCTAATTTATCCTACTTTCATCCCTATTTCTAATTAATAAGAATCAAATTTTGGCATGTGGGTAATTAGTGCCTTTGCCTTCTTTTTTTTTTTAATTTATGGATAGTACATGTGGAAATACGACTTACTTTTATTTACTTATTACATATTCCTGTGGAAATTTTCCAAGACATGATGGAGGCTGGTTAGTGGTATTTCTTTTGGATTCCCTTTACTTGTCGCATGCTCAGTGACAGATTGAAGTCTCCGTTAATTAATAAAAAAATTGAAGTCTCCATGCATTAATAAACTGGAAGGTTAAACCTTTAAATTGTATGTCACTTTTGTTAATAAAAGCTATATATTGGGAAAGTAGGGAAGTTATGTCGTGAAACCTTTAAATCGTATTAGGTAGAACTTTATTAGGAATATAATTATAGAAAGTTAATGAGAAACTAAATATTTGGTGCATCATTACCTTATTTCTCTCGTACAGCATTCATGAATAGATAGCCAGAGAAATATGGAGCACCCGTTCTACGAGATTTGTTTACGGAATCCAGAGCAGGTTAGCTCATCAAACACGAGAAAGGCTAGAACTCAAATTTTGAGCCTCTAAAACCGAGAACCACCATGAGATGTGGAAAAGAAACAATTGTCTTCCCTTATTGTCTGTACATTTCAACAAGATCTTTTTAGTGACAACACAAAAATATTTTCAAATTATGAGTAAATGTTGTTAATATATTTTTATAATATTTTATAAAACTTATATTACTAAAAAAATTTAGCAACATTTTTATATATTAATTACAGCATTTTAAAAATCTTATCAAAGTAATATTTTGTAACATCTATACTATTAATAAATGGGATATTCTTTTTTGTTGATTATGATTTTTAGACTAATTTATCTTTATAAGGATTTTTAAATTACTTTCTCTTTATTATTTTTTATTTACTTTTTGATTTATTCTCTCTCTTCTTTTCTACTTCAATGCCACTTTCATTTTTCAAATTTCTCATCCTTTGATTAACCACAAGTTATCTTTTTAATTAGAGAGGCACAAAATGTCTATTTTTCTCCTAATTTTAATAATGTTAAATTTTTTAAAATTTTATAAAATGATAATTAGTTTTAATATAGATGGTGCCGCCCCTTATATTTTATAAGTTTTATCTATAAGCCCTTTAAGATTGATGAACTCAAAATGATAAAGATAGAGTTGAAATGGAAAAGGTCCCATATGTTGACCTATATATAATAAGTCTGATCAACTTAAAGTTATTGGTTAGTCTGATTTTGATTTCGCTAGTTGTCTTAACGACCGAAAAATCTACTTCCGACTTTGTTTTCATGATGGCAGGAGAAGCTATTTCTTCGAAGAGTGTTAAACAAACTCTTACAACTACTTCTACCGTGGAGGTAGAATATGTCACTTGTTATAAGGCTACTTGTCAAGTTGTGTGGCTTAAAAATTTGATTTTTGGCTTTCATATTGTTGAAAGTATTTCTAGGCCACTTATGATATATTGTGACAATATTGTTGCTGTGCATTTCTCTCAAAACAATAGAAGTTCTACTCATTCAAAGCATTTTGATATAAAATTTATGTTTGTTAGAAAGTTTTTGGATTTTCAGACTCAAATTGAGCATACTGCTACAGAAATATGTTAGCAAATCCATTGACTAAAGTCTTAACTATTGGAGTTTTTCAAGATCATGTAACTCATATGGGTGTGGTTAAGTTTTTTGATGTATTGGGCTAGTGGGAGTCTGAAGTTTACATTTTTTATTATTATGGTTTTCATGGGATGTAAATTTATCAATGACGTCATTTTCATTACATCTCTTTCAGCATATAAAAATGCTTGGACCATTTTTTGGGATCACATATTTATTATGTTTTTCGTTGTCCATTATTTATGAAATATAAACATAAGGTATGTATCCCTATCGGATAATATCTTTGTGGTTCTTGTTTATATTTCTTATATTGTTAATTGATATATGTGCTTGTGTTGTAATTGATATATTTGATTTATTGATTAATGTTATCGAATTGGGAGAATGTTATATATATTTAATTATTCTCTATTTTATTATCATTCTCATTATTATATATCATTATTATTATATGGATTAACATTAATTAATAAATTATATTTATATGTTAATATCAATTATATTGCACATTATTATTATTATTAATTATATTTATATGTTAATAACATGAATGGTCGACCATGATGGATTAAACTATTTAGTAGCCTGTTAAGAGGTCCCTATCTATTGTTAAGGATATAGAACTCGTACCATTAGTCAGTTCATACGTAGAAATATTTTCTATCTTCTGCTTTTCACCTTACCAAGAAGAGTACAGTCTTCTCTTACGTTGTTCAAGACCAATAGGATGGATCCCTCACTGATTTCGGGTACTCAATTCTTCCTATACGATATTTGAACATAGTATAATATTGTATCTTATATTGTTTATTGTCTAGTAATTACTCTGAATTCTTTTTCTTTTAACACGATAAGCTTGAAGTGATGCTTTCTCTTTTAAAATTGTAGCTTCCAAATTATTTTCTCTTGTGTTCCACCACAACCAAGAAAAACAAAAAAAATACCTAATATTCAAACAATTAAACTAAAATTAAAATTATTTTTTGACCAAGTATTTTGTGGTTAATAACAATATTTAAAAGCATAATGTAGATTAATAGTTGCCTAAATTGAATAAAATATGAATGCATATTTGACAATTATTAACACTCAACAAACTTAAAATAAAAAGCAACTAAGTAGATTTATCATTTTTTTATGTCAGATTTTATTTTACCGGAACATATATATAATTTCAAACTTATAAATTGCATCGGTATATATAATATATGAATTACTTTGATAATTTTGCTTATCTATAAATCAAGCTAAACCTAGTTAATTGATGATTTACACAATGAGATCCTACATATTTGGATTAGATTTAATTCATGTAATGTATACTACTATTATTTATTTGAATATTGTATTCTAATTTCATTATTATTTAGACATATAAGCTAAATTTTAAAATATTTAATCTAAAAGAATTTGGTGTTCTTTTTAAAAAGTTGAAATTAAAAAAAATAATATTATTCTTGTCACATAAATAATATTTTCTTATTTAAAAATAAGAGTATAATTATATTTTGATTGCCTATTCAACCTCCAACAAATTTGTTGTCTATTTAAAAATTATAAGGATTGTCTCCAACAAAAAAGTTTCTCTAGTGCTCAAAATCTTTCCAACCTCTTTATGTCTCATGCATGTATTTAAATTTATTTATCTTTTTGGAAAACTTTCTGGTAATTTGTATATACTTTACTCATTTTCTCATTTATTTTTATGATATTGTCTTTTTATTTAAATGTTTTTCATTTATTTATTTTATTTCTCATGTATTTTGTGTATTTGTTTGATGATTCTAGTGAGATTACTATTTTAATAATAATTATGTTTGCATATATGAAATTCAGATTTTTTAAAATTCTATATACAATATTAATTAATCTTATTTGTGGAGAATATTTTCATGTATATTATTAAAATTCTTACAAGGTTAAACCATTTTAGTAGAAAAATTAAAGTGGTTAATATGTAAATGATAATAATTTAGAATTCATATTTTGAATATCAATAAATAAATAGGAACACATTAGATAAACTTCTAGAATTCACTATAAAGAGATAATGTTTATATGATAAAAAAATTATGAGAAAAAATATTTATTGATTATCTGTTGGACATCATTTTTTTTTTATCAAAATTGTTAATTTTGTTGATTTTGTTAGGCTCACATATTTAGAGATTTATTAAACTTTGATTTTCAGCAATAAATCAAAGATAATGAAGACACATGACTTGAAGCAGTCGTACACCAACAAGTGTGGTATGACCTAAATCGGATATCAGATTAGGAAAATTGAAAAATAATAGACATGTGAAACTCCAACATGATTAGACACGATCAACAATCAACTTGGAAAGACGTGTGCATGACTGACTTGCAACCGATCACCACGTACAAAAAATTGACTCAGAAAGACGTTAGTAGAACTAGCTCGCAACTGGCCACCACATACAAAAAAATTGACTTGGAAAGACATGAATAAGAATGGCTTGCAACCAACCACCACATATAAAAACAATAGACTTGGAAAGATGTGAGCAGGACCACCTTGCAATCGACCACCACGCACAAAAAATTGGTTTGGAAAGACGTGAGTAGGACCAATTTGCAACCTATTACCACACAAAAAAAATGACTCAGAAATACTTGAGTAGAATCTACTTACAACCTGCCACCATGCATAAAATATCAATCTAAAAGACATGAATAAGATCGACTTGCAACCAACCACCACGCACAAAAAATCGAGGATTAAGGTTAAGGGTAAGTGAACCGTCTCAAGCTTATTCTAAGAGACCTTGACTAATTGGCATATAAAAGAAGGGTTGCCTGCAACCATTATGCACCTCATGCTTAAGATTGAGGGGCAAGTGACCATCTCGAAAATATTTTGAGAGGTTGTTGGTTTTTTGAGCAAACGCACCCAAGTCTCTGTAATATAGTTAAAAGGTTGTCGATCCTCAGGGACTTGTGAATTAAGCTATGATTTCTATTATACTAATTGATACTTGTGAATTTAAAACTTACGTAATTACACACGTTCAAATTT